TGAAACAGTTAAAGGACACTGAAGGTTTGCAAAGAAAGTATTTCTTTTGAACTTGAAAGTTTGGACCAAGAAAGAAGAATAATGATTTACAGTTTTCAATGTTACGCACAGGAACAGTGTGAGTCGTTAACATGAGATTTGCGAAAGGGGGATTTAACGAACTAACAGCCTAGACGTAAACGAGTGTGAAAGTATTTGTGCTCTTTCTTATCACCAGTGAGATAATATATTGGGGGGCTTTTTTAAGTTGGCCATTTAATTTTGATTTAAAAGAATTTCTAAGGTTGAACTTGAAATTTAATTTCAATCCGGATAAATTGTTCCAGTCACGAATGACAGAGGGAAGAAAAGAATCTTGATATAGTTGAGTTCTAGAGTTTAACAATCGGTATGTTATTGAAGTTACGCTAATTGTTATCTATTTTGTGTTGTTCAGGGATTATGTTTGATAAGTAATTTGGTGTTATGTGGTTTTTCCATTTTGTAAAATGTTATTAGTTTATGTTTTTTTTCCTGCGAGTTGGGCTAAGGTTTTTTCCAACTTTGTTTCGTTATGAAGTTTTTCAATGCTTGCAAAAGTTTAGTCGCTCCCGTGATAATACGCGCTGCTTCTATTTGAACAGATTCGATTCTTTTGTTTTTCGTAATTATTACAGTTATCCCAGACAACGATCACTATTATTCTAAAAGTGGTCGTAATGAATATAACATAAAGTTTTGTAAGACAAGACTCTGTTTCAAGAATGAATTTGAATGCTCTTAATATTCCAATACGTTTTCCAAGCCCTGAAGATTAACAACTGACGAGATATGAGAGTGCCACCTTTTCCCATCGTTTGAAAAGTTTATGCCTAAAATGTTTATGTTTCAATCGAATTGTTGATTGTGAGTGTCGTTCATTTTTAAGTCAGTGTGAGGAGGGTTTTGTTTTTTTACGCGAGAATATCATGGAATTCTGTCTTATTGGGATTGAAATCGATTCTACGCAACGATTTTGCCCAATAATGTATATTTTGCAAAGTTCAAATTGTTAAGAATAGAAGGAGGCAGAACAATAAGATACAGGTAGTGTCGTCGGCAAAAAGTCTGATTTTGATTTTACTTTACTGACAAATATCATTTATATAAATGAGAAATAGTAGAGGTTCGCTAAGATTGAGCCTTGGTGGCACACCAGCTTTAATATATTACTCAGTTTGACATTGAATTTCTAATAACAACACAGTTTTGCTGACGATTTAACAAATATGAAGCGAACCATTGATGAAGTTGACCGGATATACCTATCGATAAAATTTACTTAGTAGGCCACGGTGCCAAACACGGTCAAACGCCTTTGAGATATCACAAAAGACCATTCTAATTTCTTTACATCATCAAGGGCTTTACAAATATCGTTATAAATGAATATCAATTGGTTGGAGGTGGAGTCACCTTTTATGAACCCAGATTGACATTCAGAAAGAATATTGTTTTGACGTCAAACAAAATTGTACATATGTTTATGGGATAACAACGTTTCCATGGAGTTTACCTAGGCAGCTTAAAAGTGATATAGGTCTATAATTCGCGGAGGAAGAAGGGTCAGACTTTTTATAGACTGGGGTTACATGTGCCTTTTTCCAGTCGGTCGGAAAATATAAAGATGAAAGAAGTTTGTTAAAAAAAGAAGAAAGTGGCGCAGCAAGTACATTCCTAGCTTCTTTTAAAAGACGGGGAATTATGAAATCAGGTCCAGACGATTTCGAGGGATTAATATTAGCAATTGAATCCTTTACGTCCTGTGGTGTGATGATAATATTAGTAAAGGATGTTGTTGGATGAGGGTTTAATGTTGGAGGATCCAATTAATTAATTAATTTATTTATCTATTTATTTATTTATTTGTATCTATTCATTAGTTCGTTCATTCATTCATTCATTCATTCATTCATTCATTCATTCATATATTCATTAATTCATTCATTAATTGATTCATTAATTGATTGATGAATTAATTAATTAATTAGTACATGTAATTTATTTATTCATTCATTCATATTGTCGATTATCATATTCTACACAGACTAGCTATTTTCATGATGGAATTCGTGTATCCGAGAAGACAGGCAAATGTGAGAGTGTACAGGATACTACAATCCAGAAAAGAGGATATGCTTATGCTAAAAAGGAAGTTATTCAACTGCAATATTCCGGACCAGAAAACGTAAGTAAATAATTATAATTGTTTCCTGTTTAGTTGGATTTCTAAAAATATATTATAATTATATAATGTATTTAATGTCTCCGAAAGTGAACGAAAAAAAAAAAGACTGTAAAATATTTAAGATACATAAGAGGAAATAATTTTATTTCATTTGTTGTGCTTATTGGGTCGTCAATGATTATTGAAATGTACTCAGTTAGTGATGTGTCAGCTTTAAGATTGAGTCATGTAACTAAGTTTTAAGTTGTGTTTTTAACATTAACTTCATTAGTGACTGTTATGCATAATAGTATATTGGTTTTGTAAATAACAGTGCTTTGTTTTATTTTATAATTATTATTTTTTTCAGAAGCTAGCAAAGAGGCAAGCCTGGCAATATCCCGGAGGGTCCAAAGTTGATGCATTTTTCTCTTATCCTGGAAATGGTGAAACTCGGTAAGTACAATGGAAAGAAGGAAAGAATTTTCACCTATCTGATTTAAATCAGCTATAAATAAGCTTTTTTATCTAACCGTGACCATATACAAATTCATTTCTGGTGACATTTCAAGCAGCCAATCATCTGTTAGCTTTCATAATTTTTAAAGCGATGTGGTTTCTAATTTTAACCCTAGGAAATCCTAACAGATACTCGTATTGTGGATATTGTATGACTGAAAGAAACCTAAATCATTCATTTGAGATGTGACAACTATTGCGAAATCATAACGCTCTAACCTGACCCACATGGGTCAAGTTAGGTAGCCACCATTTTTTTGGAGAAAAGTTTTGTTCTTGTGACTGCCTATTGTATTCATTATTTGAACATTTACAGATTAATGAATGGATAAAATCAAAACGAAGATATTTTGCCTGTATCTTCTTTTAACGAAACGAAAAAGTAAAGGCCAGTCAACCGCAACTAGCTTATAACTACAAATACTTTAAATATAAATATAAGGCTTTATACACTTTTAGTTTGGAACTACTAGCCTTGTGAACTCGTAAATGGCAGTAATATGTATATCTGGCTTTAGTTAGATGCTCCGCTTTTCGTTTAACAAATTTTGTTCTATACATTACTTTTATTTACAGTTATTTATTTTCTTTCAATCTATTATAATATTGTTACAGTGGAGAATTTCGATTCGATTTCTTCAATGCGAGTCACACTCTTAGCCTTGGGTAAATACTGCGTTTTATTTGAATATATAAGCCGCGTCATAACAATACCAACATAGTGCGTTTGCGACCAGCATGGATCCAGACCAGCCTGCGCATCCGCGAAGTCTGATCAGGATTTATGCTGTTCGCCTACCAACCCTTTTACAAGGTGAGAAACTGATAGCAAACAGCATGGATCCTGATCAGATTGCGCAGGCTTGTCTGTATTCATGCTGGTCGCAAACGTACTATGTTGGTTTTGTCGTGCCGCGGCTCATATAATTTTATGTATATCTGTATTTTTTAATATGAATTTTTTTAGATGATGTAATTATGTCTTATGAACTGTTTGCATAAACTGGTCATACTTCATGACCAATCAGGAAACCCCATATACGCTCTGTTTTTGCAATATTTACCCTGTTTCACTTTTATTAACTTTACATAAAGAAATATCGGACAGAGTATGATGTCTAGATGTTTATATTTAACATATAATTATATAACATAATCTGTTATATTATCCAGCTTCTTCCCGAATGGTCAGGAAAAAATGCATGTCGTCGAACGAATCGATAATATTGACAAACATGTATCGGGAAAGGAAGTTCCAACTGAACTACTAGGACATGACATTGTAAAAATTTCAGTCGTCCCTCAAAACAAATCAGTAGAGGTTAGTTCTGCTGCATTAAAACACATTATGCCTTCAAAACTATCTAGAAATTGCAAACATGAGTTTAACATCATTTAAATACGTGTAAAAGCTTAAAACCTGATAAAGTTATCATACCTGAAGAATGTAGAGCTAAATGTGGAAATAATTGTTATTTGTTTAACAAAATGTAAACGAAGCAGAATTGCACCTTCCATACAAACTACTTAATCACTATATATAAATTGCCAATGAGCAATAAAAAAAATGCTCAGGTATTAGCCAGGCCATTGAATTAAGATTTGAAAACTAGCAAAATACACAAAGAAACAATTACACTTTTTTACTTATCATGCTCGATGTTTTAATTTGCGTTCAGCTTCGGCCATGATACTAATGCATACCCATCTATGGAAAGCCTTGACTGTCTTATATGTCCATATAGCAATACATTGAGTCAACCTTTCCTTATACAATGTGCACTCATCAATATATTATGTGGATCCATCTTTATATGTTGTCAACTGAACAATATATGATGTCAACGTATTTTATATGATGTCAATCTATCATTATACCGTCTTTATATAGAGTCAACTTATTAAAATATGATATCAACACGTCCGTATCTATGTAAATCTTTCATTGTACGATGTGCATTAATGAATATATTATGTAAAACCATCTTTAGATAGAGTCAACTTAACATTATATGATGTCAACACGTCCTTGTATGATGCCGATCTTTCATAATACGATGTGTATTAGTGAATATATTATGTGAAACCATCTTTATATAGAGTCAACTTAACAATATATGATGTATATGTGTCCTTATATGATGTTAGTCTTTCATTATATGATGTGCAATTACGAATATATTATGTGGAACCATTCTTATATAGAGTCAAAACAACATTATAATATTTTTTAATTAAAGATATATATGTAGAAATAAAAAATCTTTAACTAATGAGGTCCCTTATGAATGAAATTTTGAAAGTGTTAATTTGCAGACTCAGTTTTATTGAGTTTTTTTTTGAGAATTTATGGAAATAACAACATCTCTATATTCTTGATTTTAAACATCTGAAAAATACAACCAGCTAAAACAATGGAGCCAGAAATTTATTTTCAATTGTATGTAAAATTATAAATACACTGATCAGAAGTACTTAAATACTCATACACATATGGATGAAAATTTAAAATTCCTGAAAGTCCTGAATTTCCTAATTTTGTTGATTGTGTTAGCTAAGAAATTTGTTATATATATATTTTGGTATTCATTAATAAGTACATCAAACCTTCAGCTGGATTTAACTCATGATAAATTTGCTTGCTGTCTGAGGTCTGTTTACGATAGTGATCCCTCTGACTTTGAGCTTTTTGTACATGACCAGCATAATCATTTAGTAAATCCTGTTTATCAGACTCAGTAAATTTTCCTGACTGACTTAGCTTATAACTAAATGTCTGGCACCTTTGGCATAAATCTGTGGCAGGCTTTGAAATTGTTATGTGGGGACAAAGGTCATCCCATATATTCATGAAAGTTTTATAGCAAACACTTCGATATCCACTTGCAGAGGCACTAGCATTATAAAGACTGTGAATATCAGCGACTTTTTTATCTGATGGCAAAAGTAATACAGTTTTTTGAGGTATATTTGGAAGACGGCCCGGTATTGGCAAAGCATTTTCTGTTGCATATTCTGTTATAAATTTTTTGATTTGATTCCTCTGATCAAATGACAAGCTATTTGGTGATGGTTTTGATTTGTTACCATGAATACGGGGAACAATTCCCTCTTCGTCAAGTGACTTAACAATTCGTCCCAAAGTATTTTTTGACACATTATGGGCAAAGCAAAATAACGCTCTGCAAACCTTTCCACCCATGAAGTAATATTCTTGATACGCCCTTTCTCGACATTTTGCTTTTTTACCACAAGCCCGTGTAAGCTCACTTTTACATCTATGAGAAAACAGCTGCGACTTTACTACAATATCTCTTTCATCACTAGTCATTTCACAGCATCTCTGACGATATTGAATGACCTCATTAAAGTCTACTTTTTGGGAGCATGGAGTACCATTATAAATTTCATAACAGCCACAGGATTCAGTCTGAAATTTAGCAACTTTTTCCTCCTCTACAATATCTATACAACGTTTTTCTAAAAATACAGTCCCTTCTATGTCATTGCTTTTTTCCATACAATCATCATTTATTTCATTATCATCATCATTATCATCATCATCATCACTATCATCACTAAAATCATGCTCGATAACTTCATCATCAACATTCATAAAACTAGCTTCAAAAGTTTCATCGTTGGTGGGATTAGGAAAATCTGGGTATAGATTACTGACAATATTAAGTTCATCAAAAAAATGTGCATCGTGTTGGTCACAAAAATCATAAGGAATAGTGCTAGACTGTGAAAGTATTTCTGGTTGACTCATTTTGCATTTTTTTACGAGAATTACACTTCTTTTGTTTGTGAATATAACTTGGCTGTCATTCTGTATGTTGCTATCAACAAACCGTTGTCCAGGAAGTTAATTTTGTTCCTACTTCCGGGTTAAATTATTTTCCGATAATTTACATATTTTTAGCAAAATTACTACAATAAAAAATACTCACCTAACCCGAATAATCCAGTAATATATAAGTTTTGTCAAAACAGACATTGTCACTGTGAAATATTCTTTACAACACCGAAAAACATCGAATCAATTTACTCATAATTTATCAACAATCAATGTCAGATGACGTAATCAGTGGTCCTCGTAAAAATCTTTCCTCGTGATTTTTAATTTACTGTCATAGGATGAACGGTAGCAAATTAGTGTTGCAATTGATTACTCTGTACGATACAGCCTCCCATTACCTGACAAGTCATTTATTATATATTTAAACGCTATTTTTACTGGCAGATTCGTGGAAATATAACGAGGAAAAAATGGCGTCAAATATCTCGCATTTTCTCGATAACGACGTCAACGTCAAGAAGCCCCATTTTTGCATTCCACTACACATATTATGTAAAATTGTCTTGATATAGAGTCAGTTTAACAATATATGATGCAATTTACTTTGAGTTTTCCCGCTGTTGCCACGAACGGTGCATAGTGAGATATAACCCGGTAAATTTAACCCCATCAGTAAAATGATAGACTCACACGATATAATGATGTTTGCACTTCAAATAAAGCAGCGGTCGTATTATAATATATGTTCATCGTATAATGAAAGATTGACATAATATATTGATAAGTTGACTATATACGAGGGGTGCGCAATAAGTTTTGTCCAGTAACGGATTGTTTTAAATTCCTGCACGAAATTCTCATGAAATTGTACTTATCATACGCTTCAATGCATTAGCTTTACATACATACCCGGTTTATCTTATTCCAATCTGTTTTAGTTGATATACATGCGATTTAAAACATTGCGGTCATACCCACTAATGTAAAACAATGGTTGGGAAACGATCTTTGCATTCCTCTGAAATTCGGAGTTATATCAAAGGCGTCATCAACTTGAATTGAACGCGAAAACAATTACAATGAAAGTTTGTCAAGTTTATGGAGATAGTGAAGTTTCTTATAGACTTGTTAGAAAACTGGATTGCTAAGTTTAAAAAACTGGTGTTTGAGCTCCTATCAAAGACCGGGTAAAGATCTGGAAAAAAAACCGACCTGCCGTAGACCCCAAAAAACATTAAAAATGTCTGTGAAATTTAAAACGGATGCTATACACACTTCTCGTGACATAGCTAACATGGTTGGGATATCAGAAGGGTCAGTGCGCACAATTCTAAAGAAGAAACTAGGAATGAGCCGCATCACTGCAAGATGGATACCCGATTTACTCACCAATGAACAAAAACAGGAACGTATCATATGTGCCAAGGTATTGTTAACAATGTTCCCAGAATTTAACCGTCGGCGTTTTAATAATGTTATAACGGGTGACGAAACATGGGTACAGTTTTGGGCCACATAGAAACGCTCGAAGGCCAACAATTGCAAAAAAAACACTGAGTGTCAAGAAAGTTATGGTAGCAGTATTCTTCGACATCAATGGCATTTTACTTCAAGTTTTAGTGCCAAGGGGTCAGTCTGTCACAGGAAGGTTCTACAAAT